TGTAAAACCATAGGAGGGTTAACAAGTTTTAAAATGTGCATAATATCTTACATACAAAGCACCTTTTGCATCCTTCTCAGTTTGTATTCTCCAGGGTCAACAAAAAAGTGTACTCTGTCAATGTTCATGAGAATGGTGACATAATGGATGGCCTTTTGGGCAGAAAGAACTGAAAAGCATGCTTGCCTTTGAAGGAATCTGTGTCCCTGTCACGCACGAGACGGACAACTCTAATCTTTTCCTGTAAATAATGTAGAAACCATCCCATTAACCAATTCTCATTCCCAAACACACTGACAGATATTTGTGCAAGCTTACTTTGGAATGCCATCACATCTGAAATAGACTGCTTTCAGTGTTATGGTTGAAATGACAGTCACACCACCAATGCAAGACCTCCAGTCTAACTTCAAGTCACAAGCTATTCAAATGTATGGCAATAAAAGCATTCCTTTGTCATTCTTTACCCAGCTACTTGTGACTGGTCTTGTGTCCAGACTTCTGGTTCTTGTCTACAACACTGATTGTTCTTCTGAAATCAATGAGTACTTCTTACTCATCTCAGCAATGAATACCAACAGTAAATCCCACGGAAACCAGACTTGACAGGGTCTTGCCAGAGCTGGATCCTTAACTTCACGCAATATTGTGCTTGGAAGCACTAGCCAAACACAACAAATGGCAAGAGCTCTCAAACAAGAGGCCAGCTCAATATTACAATCTATAACAGGCTACCTGGCCAAATTGACCAACTGTTAACCTGTCAGACCCAGAGACTTTTCAATTAGACAACCCAGGCAGCTTCTACTTTCTCAAAATTGGCAGCAGTGCTGCTGTTAGTGACTAGCTAAAGCAACAATGCCAAACAGGTATGTACACCAGTTTATCCCCCCTTCCCTTTTGCACACGTTTATAGCAGGTTAGGGGTACCAGTGAATTCGGTGCCTCTTTGCAGTCAACTGAATTATATCCACCAGAACAAATGTAATGCTGTGCTTTACCGCCAGATTCTCAAAGATCGTCTCCAGATCCCCTTGCAAACAATCACTCGGTAGGTTGCCTACGTAGGCAGTGTAAGGGGGCTCTGTGGGCAGAGGCTTCTGCTGCTTTCCCCCACTGTAACCCCCTCCTCCGCCGTAACCCCCACTGTATCCCCCAGCACCATGACCACCACCGCCCCTTCCGTAGTCATTGTCACGATCACGTCCCCTGTGAGGTGCAAGGGGAAAAATGAGAAAACAGGAGTGTCTTAATATTTTGCTCAACAGAACAAAGACCAGCAATAATAAAATGCCAGAGGGAAATTAATACACTTTTACAAAACACAGCTGCACAAGATTGTAAGGCCAAGAGGAACCTTGGAATGGGGATTAATCAATTATGCATAAGTTGTTATTAAAAATGTTTGCCATTGTACGATGAGGTGAATAGTAAACTGGCAAAATTCCAAAACAAAAAATCATAAGAAACAAAGGCTACCATTTCTGCAAATGAAAAAAATGAGAATTTTAGGCCCTGGCAATTGGACATGAAATGGATAGCAACAAAAAGGCCTTCCTGCATTGTGTCCTGGTGGCCCTTTTACGCCCACACTATAACATCAGTCCCAACTGTAGTTGGGACTGTCCCAACTATCGTGGGGCCCGTCCCGACTAGAGAGCTATAGTTGGGCTGGCCCAACTACAACACAGAGGTCCAGTCGTGTGCATGTGTCCAGCATGTGCCAAAGTCATATTCACTGTTTACAGTATCATGTCATTGATGAAGTGCCATATGGAAGTTAACGCGCAACTTCAGTGATCGTCCACTAGGAGCCTGCAAATCGTGGCGTGTCCGCCTTTGTGACGAAGTCACTTATGAACAGGATAGAAATTGGTCAACAACAGTTGGGCAAGCCCAACTGCAGCACTTTCGTTGGGACAGATGCTAAAGTTGGGGCGTAACATCATCATGTGTGTATTTTCCACAATGATCAGTCACTGTAAATAATTTGATGAAAGCTCAGATTTTGGACTACACTAATAAATTAAAAAAAAATTCTCATTTGGTCATATGAAGGAAAGGCAGCATTGAACATGTTGAACATGTTGCGGTTGGATTTTTGGAATTACATCGCACTGGCCTGAGTAACACTCAGTTACACGGCACGGCAAAGGGACAATATGCTTATGCTCCATTTATCATAGCATGCTAGCTGTGACGTGCAGAAGTGCAATGAAGCTCCCAGTCCCAGCTCAGATGTCCGACCGACCACGAGCCCAGTCATGCGTCGCGGACAATGATGGACTTTGTTCAAAGCAGTGAACTTATTAAGTTATTTTCCAAACATGCCAAATAATATTGAGTTGAATAAATACTCTCAACTGTCGAGATTACCAAAACATGCACATCTGGGGCACCAGGCTTGTACAGTAGTAAAGACTGCTGCCCCTAGAATTTATAATTAAAATGATGGCGCCCTCGTGCGCGCGTGTAACTCGTCATGCCCGTTTCACCTCCATTCACATTACGCACACAACATGCACAACATATTTTCAGCCTTCACATATTATGCTCCTTATTTTTCCACATTGTAAATTTAAAATAATTAAAAAAATCTGGAAATGATACTAGAAAGTCTGCAGATGTACTCCATCTTCTCAATTAAGACTGGCTCACCTCGGATAGTTTCCTGCGGCGCCCGAAAATGCGTTGAAATTTTCACCAAATCCCGACATCTTGGATTAGAGTCTAAAAAGACATCGAGATCGACCTTTTGACCTCTAAACTTCAAGAGATTGACGAAAAACACAGATTTACAATTATTTGTTTAAAATAAAGTAAATAATGTCTAATTGATGGAAAATGTGTTTCCATAAATTATTTTTCATATTTCGATGTGTGTTCGGTGAGTGGACGTAATTTCCACAAAAATATCTAACTTATTGGAGTTATGATGTTACAAACATTAAATTCCAAACATCAACATGGCGGCAGCAGAGAAATTGCACGTGGATGCGAAAGTCGTCGAGAGTAAGTTTCAAAAACACCCAGAACGACAGAGTAAGCAGGACAAGCAACTCTTGGAAACATTCTGGGACCTTGCTGCTACATTAGACGGTAAAAGGGTGGGAGCTGCAGGGAGACTTATCGATATAGTGAGCAGAAGGCAGGCGGACCATCAACGCGATGGTACAGCCAGCATGACAGCGACGCCGGTGCGTGCCTTTCGTTTCAACTGTTCACAGTCATGATAGTCTACATGTTCGCTGCCTTTGTCATACTCTTAATTATTGACAACATGTTTACGGGGAATTGAGCAAGCAGAGAGGGTCAGTACCTATATGACCTACCTTTGGGGTTACACCTTACAAGTTCTAAAAAGTGAAAGGAAAAGGTCATTGTCAAATGATTGTCATTCATGTTATTGATTTGAGGCATACATGATTACAACATTATGGATGTACAGTAAACTCTCGATGGCTCAAACTCAAGGGAATGGATAAAAATTTCTAGGCATTTGGATTTCGAGCTGACGAAAGTTCTTGAGTCTTGCCCACAAACGTACACAGTGCACAGCACAGGTAACTCTACTGACTAGCCCCACAAGTGTGGCATGGACTCTCACTCCCGATTT